ACAGCATAATTATTTTGTAGTTCATTCATGATGTTCATTATCAATGTTTTATTCCTTTTTATTGTTGAGGGGTATTCCAGGGTATGGATGTACCACAGCTTGTTTATCCATTCACTGTAAATGGACATTTCAGTTTTTAGTTACTACAGAAAAAAGCTGCTATGAACATTCATGTATAAGTCTTTGTGTAGACAAATGCTTTCATTTCCCTTATGTAAATACCTAGGAGTGGAATGGCTGGGCCATGTGGAAAGTGTATATTTGACTGTGCAAAACTGCCAAAATATTTTTCAAAGGTTGTACCATTACGCCATCCCACAAGCAGTGGGAGTTGTAAAGAAAACACCTTGCCCCATATCAGAGTTGGAATTAACTAGAACCCGCTGGACCTCCCTCCATAAGCCACGCTACTGCCCTGACTTCTGTTACTGCCTGTTTCTCCTCTCTTGGTGATAGCCTCTTTCCTCTCTCTGAGGTACCTCATAGCTCTCCTGACTCTTCTCATTGTCTTTACTATCAAAAATTGCTCACAGGGGGGGCTTCCCTGGTGGCGCAGTGGTTGAGAGTCCGCCTGCCGATGCAGGGGACACGAGTTCGTGCCCCCGTCCGGGAAGATCCCACATGCCGCGGAGCGGCTGGGCCTGTGAGCCATGGCCGCTGAGCCTGCGCGTCCGGAGCCTGTGTTCCGCAACGGGAGAGGCCACAACAGTGAGAGGCCCGCGTACCAAAAAAAAAAAAAAAAAAAAAAATTGCTCACAGGAAGAGAAATAAATGACTGATAATGTCGTTATCCTACAGCACTACAGCAATATAGATGAAGAATAATTAACGGAACAATGAAGGTGATCAGGATTGAAGGATAGAACTGGGAGTGTTACCGAACCCAGGTCCAGCTGCTCGCCTCTTGAGAGCCAATTCAAGAGACAAGTGTTGGTAGGAATGGAAAGCTTACTTTATGTCGGAGGCTGGCAACTGGGGGAGAGGGTGGGCTCCCGTCTGAGAACCAACTCCCGATGGCTACTCAGGGGACAGGGGCTTTTAAAGGAGAGTTTCGGGGTTGTAGGCGGAGAGAGAGAGCAAAACAGCACAGTCAGACAGTCATCTTGAAACCAGTCACGTGGTGGTCTGATTAGTGTCACCTTGGTTGTTTTAAGTACAGTCAATCTTTAGTTCCAGGGTTTGTTCCCATTTCTTTGAGGCCAGTTCTCGGAATTCTGTGGAGTAGCTTATGTCATGGCTTCAGTTTGGTCCTCATGTAGTCATCCTCACCTGGTGGGGCTTCAGTATCTGCAGAACAGCTCACAGGAGATGGCTCAGAATATTATCTGTAATCCTTAAGGAGGAACTAAAGGTCCTTGACTATGCTTAATGGTGATTATTATTTGGTCTCCTTTGACTGTTTTCCTTTGTTTCTGCATTTTCTCACTTCTCTGATTAAACTTATTCTTCCGCTAAAGTTTTTCCACAGACAAAAGGCAGGCTGAGGACATGGGGTGGGGGAGGGCAAGGACCACAGGGTCCTGCTCCGTTTCAGGAGAACCTAACATCCAGGAAGTTTTCTTCCTGTAATTATCATATTTACCTCTGATATCTGCCAGAAACAGATTCTGAGTTCTAGATGCCTTGATCTGTACTATCTTTCTACCACAGGAAAAGTCTCATATGTGAAAGTCCTCAGTAAATGTTGACTGACTGACAGACACTTAGGGAGTGACCAAAGACAGGCGATTAAAATCTCTAACCTCTACTTTTGCTTCTATACAATTAGTTTTTAACTATTTCAACCCCCTGTGTATTGAGGAACCTAATACATGCACAATATGAAACCTTGGTCCCAGGATCTGAAAAAGCCCTACAGCAGTTCTATAACACCTGTATCCCAATTCCCTGCCCTAGAGGGCAAAGCTTTTCAAATGATTAAGCTAATCTGGTTCGAGTAGAGGGAAGCTACTAACACACCATTGTAAAGCAATTATACTCCAATAAAGATGTAAAAAAAAAAAAAACCTTGACATCAGACTGGTAGGTGTTTGCACAGGTAATTGTAAGATTCTCACCTAAGGAGAATATATATATGCATCATGTTAGGTACAAGGATAAAACCAAAGTTAGACAAAATATGTTGCCCATTTATCATCTATGCCATTTTTATAGCTCGTAGCACCTTTGAGTAAGTCTCAGACCTGGAAATGCCCACCTTGGCCCAATACCTCATGTCCCTTTCAAGTCAAGAATCTCCTACTGGGTCTGACCAGTGACACATCTGTTGCAATGAGCTGATGAACAGTAGTAGCAAACCTCGTGGCCTTAGGTTAAATTCTGCAGGTGGAATATCCAGTAGATTGGTATCTAAAGTTAACTTCTGAATCCTCCCTAGAAACAGTAGAGGGTAACATTACTCTATTTGAAGCGTGGCATTAAGCACTTCACAAACGTTACTTAATTCATTTCCACAAAAACTCTGTGACTTAGGTAGCTCAGAGAAACTGAAACTAAAAGTTTAAATAATAAGCCCAGCATCATAGATCTAATAAAAACAGAGCAGGTCTGGAGACTGAGCCTTTGACCTCTATGCCCTCTTCACAGCCGCAAGAGTTCATATCTGGGCAAACAGCTTTGGTTGTGATTCTGTTTCAGCCCCTTTCATGCAAACTCCTCACCTCCAAGGCAAATGTCTACTTAATCCAACGGTAACTCTCCCCACTAAATATTAGAAATTCCTTCCTTTTTTTTATGTCACCCAACTTTTCCAATGTGTCTTGGTTAAAACTCAGAGGTAAAATTCAACATAATTTATTTCAAATTTGGTACACCTTATTCTACAAGATACTCAGAACCATTTTGAAAAGTAAAAGGAGATATTTATACCAATTAATGGTGATCCTAATGTTATTTCATGTTATAAAATGTTTAAAGTTTTCTATCTTCTGCCAACCAAAAATAAAACTACATGCCAGTTGCCAGATTGATTAAATTTTAGCAGTATATGATTTTCTCTTTTCTCCTATTTTCGGAATACAGGGAATGTTAGATCATGGTAGCCTCTGAACTCAGTTGAATTATGCTTGATATTTATATTTGATTACTCCTCACTAAATATTAGAAATTCCTTCCTTTTTTAAAATGGATGCTCTTTCCTTTCTAAATTAGAAATTCAAGAAAAAATTATAAAGAACAGGATGAGATCAGATATCAAATTAATAACTTCTCTAATAAACAGAAAAATTAAAGAGGTCTAGTAGATTTAGTTTAAGAAGACATTGTTGAAAATGTTTTTGTCAGGCACTGTGCTGTACATGAATTGCAAAAAAACACCTTTGCCTTTGGAAGTTAATTACCTTGCTCAGAAGTTCTTTTACATCATAAAATACAGGACCGGTATCACAATTTTTCTACTTATTTTTGTTGTAGCTTAAAAACAGATAATCTCAGTTAACTGACTTCACTGAACTAAACCATTTTCAACAATTCCTTTACAGAAAGTGATTCTGAAAATGAGCAGTTTTCCATAATGTCAGAGAGCGATTTAGCTGGAAATCATCCATTACCATTAATAGAATTTATATAACTCAGTTTTACTGCCATTAAAAGGTCAAATCTGAAAGGCTTTGTTAATGTTATTTCCTTTCAAAGAAGTTGTTTCTGTCAAAAATAATAAATTATAGAGCTCGTAAATGATCATTAACTACTCCCTTAATCTGTAATCATTATTTTTAATCTGACTTTAGAATTTTGCCCCACTAATGATATATATATATCATGCATATGTGTATATATATATATATATATATATATATATATATATACACATTTTAACTGTAGAGACTGCCTACCAAGTGAGATAATTAAAGGCACAGCCTCCCTTTGCAGAAGGAATATTTTCCATTGAAATGCCTTCTAATCAACAATCCCTGGTAAATGTCTTCTCTTTGAAGAGCAGGAGGCAACTTCCTAGAAGCTTTATCCTGGACTCTCTCAGTGATTGATGATCTCCAATGGTGTTTCGTCAAGCAAACTGGGACGTCATGAGAGTAACAGAATAAGAGCTTAAGCTTGAACATAGCCCAGCCTGCCAGTCCTCTGTTAGGAAGCCATCTGTTAGCAACCTTGCGTCATCCCCACCCTCTATCTCAGTCAATTGACTGCTGGTGTCTGAATTGCGGGTGGCTTCTTTGCTTAACTCAGATGCATTGTGTCTTGATTTTTTTTTTTTTTTTTTTGAAACTCCCTGTATAAACAGGCCAGGATAATGAGTAAACAAACAACAAAAAACCTTCAGTTACAGTTTGATTCTCATTCCCAAACACACAGCCATGCCTCACTCTTACAAAAGACAGGCTGATCTGGATTGCGTCTCACTTAGGAAAATGACCACCTGACACTAGTTGGAGAAGTGATAAATCTCCAAAGTTTTATAATCACAAATCAAAAAAAAAAAAGCCTGGATTTCCCTCCTACTAGAGGCACACTGAAAAACAGAACCACAGTGTGCAAGGTCATTAACCAAGTGCATGTATCTGCCAGAAAGTTGAAATCGCACCTCACAGTTTGCTGCCAGCAGGATTTCTCCTCGCAACCCCATGGCTGTTTGAAGTGCAGACAGAATGGAGTTGCACGGCCAGCTTTCTCCATATGGGGTACAGCAAGGCTGTGCAGAGGAAGAGTGCAGAATGTAACTGCTTTAGGAAATGACTTCTAGCTCTAGTTCTTCTTTGTTGTATCAACATCTAATTTACGTGGAAAAATAAACACCTACGAATGAATTCGATGTTCACAGAACAAAAACAGTGGGGATTCATGAGTAATGTCCATGATTGAAACTCCGAAGTGCTGAAAGGGGCAGTTCTTAAGTTTGTTATTTTGGGAGGAAAAAAAATGTATATGACGCATGATAAAGTAGAGAGTTTAAAATGCAGTAGGCATATACTCTGCCAGTTTTGTGGTGCAAAATCCAACCCCAAAATACAGCTGGCATGTCTTTCTTTCTCACATTTCTACAGGTAGACCAGGGTATCTCTGCTTCTGGCTACGCTCTGTGGGTGGACCCAAGCTGGAGGGTACAGTTACCTGAGACATCTTCTCCTGGCAGAGGTCAGAAGCACCTAGGTGAGTGGGTACACATGAGAGATGCCTCTTGAAGCCTTGGGTTAGGACTGGCACTCAATCAGTTCTTCCCACATTCCTCTGGCCTAAGCAAGTTCCCTGGCCAAGCCCAGCTCTGATGGGATAGGGATGCTTGCTTCTCCATGGAGTTGGGGGAAATAAGATGACTATTTGCTGAACCTGAATGATAAGCTAACCTGACAACTTTTTTTCTCATAATTTAGAAAATGTCAGTAATTAAGAAAGAAAAAAATAAAAATCACTGGATAACCCCTCATCAGTGTTAATCTTTAGCATATATCTTTCCTATTTTTTATTTATGGGTACAGAGTGGAGTGAGTGATAGAAGGCATTAATGAAAGTTTCGTGGGAAGAGAGGAAGGGTTACCAGGAAAGCGAAAAGGGGAAAGGCTGGGGCAGTTTCCAGACTTAGTGGGATATTAAATCAGACCGTTTGTGTTTTTATGCCAATTTCACTCACTATATAACCATGGGTGCATTAATTAGCCCTTCTGAGTCCCAGTTTTAATCTGTAAAATTGGCTAACAATTGTGTCTACCTCATGATGTAATGTGAAGATTAAATGAGTTGTTGAATGTAGATAGAATAGCACTTGCAACATGATAAATGCCCAGAAAAAATTAGCCACAATCCATAAATATAATGTGTCAGGGTTTTATCTGTAAGTATTGGCCTATTCATCTCATCTCATATGCGTTATCCATACTCATGCTTGTTTACAGAGTGGCAGAGCTTCCCAGAGCCTAAAATAACTTTTGTATCCTCTTGAACATTTTTTACTTGACATCTAAGATTTTCCTTAATGAGTTTAAATAGATATAATTTATGGCATTTGATTTTAAAATAGGGTTATAATACTCTTCTAAATATCTAGTGAAACTCAAATATCACAATTCAAAACAATACATCAACAATTTGTTCTTTGACATTTAGGAATTTTACATCTTTGGCTTTTATTCTCCCTTGAACTCATATTTCCATTCCATTGTTTAACAATAAAATTTTATCATAATATAATTTATTTTTCGTTCTTGAAAGACTTTTATTGATAATCTTTCCTATATTCTTTGCAAAGAAAAGATACATATGAAAAGTGGAAAATTCTTTAAAGGGTTATAAATATTAAATTTTTTTCTGGCTTGAGTCATTACAATTATTACTGTGCATCATAAATATAGTATTGATATTGCTATATAATTTCTGACTGTCAAAAGTAGAATTTTATTAGAAATACATTTCTTATTGAGATTATTGGTATTTTTTTCAATTAGTTCTTATCTCTGTGAATGTGTAAGAAATTGCAGAGTGGGACAGAGTCCTGCGCAAATTGTATTTTGATTTGTTTTGATTTTATAGATGTGAACACAGAGAAATTACTTTCAAAAAAATCAGTAGAGGGGAATGGGAGGAAGTTTTATTTCTTTTTCATAGATGTGTCACTCAATTCTTTAAATATCAGAAATCACAGTGATCTATCATCAAAAATTATTTTAAATTATAGTCTGGTTGACACATATTTGGAGTCCAAAATCCCAGTGATATATCACCAAAAATTATTTTTAGCAGTTTTTAATTAAGTCCCATTTTGAATTGGCAATAGCAAAGAACTAGAAAGTACATGATTTGAAAAATGATTTATTGCGCAGTCATTATTGTCCATGCTTTCTCAATATCTGGGATGTAAACCAAAAAGCAAACAAACAAAAACTTTACAAACACATACCAAATGACTATAAATTATACCTATTATTCTTTTATTTAGTGGTGAATTATTTAACCCAATATACCCAAAAGGGTTAGAACAAATCAAAATGCTATTCCATTACACTCTTTTTAATACAATATTTTTGTATTAAATTCTTTTTTATCTCATTATATGCTTTAAATATATTTTTATCAATATTTTGGTATTGCAGAATTAACCTATTAAATTTATGGAGAATGTCTGCCCCACAGCCTAATCAGCCAAGCATCCCCAAGCTAATCAGACTTACATTCTGTCAGAAAAATTCTGCCTTCGTGTTTCAATTCAAACAAACGTATTAATACACTTCTCAAGTGTTATTATAAAAAGACTTGAGGAAATAAATTATATATAAGGAGATTGCCAAAAGCAGTCATTAGGATTAAAATGATGTCAATCACGAATAATTAATGTGTTATGAAAATAATAAATCAGTAAGCTGTTTCTTATTACTTAATTTGTCATAGTTTAGTGAAATATTTAGTTATAAACTATAAGTTCTTTATAAAGCAGAAGGGATAAAATAAATCTTGGCAATCCTTCAGTACCTGTGTCGGTTTATCAGTTAGCTAAGGATACAGTACCGTTGCAAAGCAACCAAGCATGCAACATCAGTGTCCTAGGACAATAAACATTTATTTATCACATTTGTTTCTAGTATGAGCTGATCTAGGCTAGCCTGGACTGGGTTCGTCTTCTCTTCTTAACTAGGTTCCTTCATTTTCCTGGTAGTCAGTTGATCTAGGCTGGGCTCAGAGGGTTGGTGGCTTAGCTTTTCTGCACATGTCTCTTGTTTTTCTAAGATGAGCAGGCTAACCTGGGCATGTCCTTCACAAGGCGATGGCCGAATCAAAAAAGAGCAAGTGTTTCCAAACACGTAAGCCTCTTGTGGCTTAGGCTAGACGTTGGCATACTATTTTCTTATTTTATTGGCCAAAGTAGGTCACAAGGCCAAACCTAGGAGTGGGAAATCGTGCTGGGTCACAGGGAGAGCACGTGGTATATGCCTGGTTAAGGACATGGATACAGGAAGGAATGGAGAATGGATGCCATTCAGACTAATTCAGTCTACCACTGCCTGGGTATTGAACTTTGGGCTTCAGCTCTTGGAAATAATTAAAAGTGAATCAAATATAAATATCAGACATAATTCAATTGAGTTCATTAGCTACCGTGGTCTAACATTTCCTGTATGCTGAAAAAAGGAGAAAGAGAAAATCCTATACTGCTAAAATGTAATCGGTCTGGAAACTGGCACGTAGTTTTACTTTTTGTTAGTAGGAGATAGAAAACATTAAACATTTTATAACATAAAATAAAATTAGGATCATCATTATTGGTATAAATATCTCCTTCTACTTTACAAAATGATTCTAAATATCTTACTGAGTAAGGTGTACCAAATTTGAAATAAATTATGTTGAAATTTTACCCCTGAGTTTTAACGAAGATACATTGAAAAACTTGGGTGATGTGAAAAAGCATTCCAGCTACACTTAAAAGAATGAACATCACTCATCTATACTACGTAGGCTGTTTGAAAGCTGTCAAGTTCAAGCAATATCTTTTAAGATTTGGCTTGGAATGGGTTTAAATGCATAGATTACCTTGAGGTAGCTATCACAACTTTGCCATATTGTTTTCCTGTACAGGATTATGACATCCACATGTTTATTTATTAAAGAGTTTCATTAATATTCATAAGCTAAAACTTGCCTCCTTCCCATTTCTTTCTTAGGTTATTATTTGATATTCCTATTTCTGCTCTTGGGAATGAAAATGGCTTTTAATTTTAATTAATGATTCTTTTCTTTGAATAGGAAGGAATCTCAGAACACTTATTTTCTGGGTTGTTAGTATTTAAATGGATGGCCTCGGGATTTTTACGTGTAGGGAATTTTAATTAATGTTTAATAACATAAATATTAATTTATACTTTTGAGATGCATGTATATGTTTTATCTTTATTTAATAATTTAGGTACTTTTAAATGACACTCAAAGTTTTAAAGTTTTCCACTGCTGAATTTGCAAAATCCTTAGTTTGAAAGGTCTCTGCTTTCTACTTGTTATTGTTGGTTATAATGAACCATTCAGAATTTCAAAGATCTAAGCCCATTCTCTAAAGTATATAGGTACAATTAGGTATGTTTCACTGCTTGCTGTCTCAATGAAGTATAATTCCCGTTGTCTATCCTTGTAAAGATATTTTTAGCAATTCAAAGTAAGAAAAAATGTTCTGAATAAGCTTTTGTTAGAAATTTCCAAGGAACACAGAAAGAGTTTATGGTTCTGTTCTTTTCCTAAAAAGAGTTCTCTTCTACAATCACAATAAAATATGTGTCATGGACATATATTTTGATGTACCTGAAAAAGAAAGTCAGATTTATAACCTCTGGTTAGAATAGGGAAAATATATATATTTGATGTAGATCTAACTATAAGAGTATAAGGGCGATTTAAGCAACTCTCATACAGAAATACAAAAGAAAAAAATTTTACTTTAATTTTCTTGCAGTAAAATATGTGTTGTTCTAAATTATTTTTAGTTCAAAGACTGATGGAATCAGTAATTGTTCAAAAAATATTGTCACTCCTTCTCTGAAGTCAATCACAATAACACAACAAAAAGAAGTAGAACCCATTACTGTGTCATTAGCAGACACCTTACTCAGTGCCTGCTGAAAATTGATGGCAAAATAGAGAATGACTCCTCTAATTTGCTCACATTCATCTTGAAAGTCAAAAGACCGAATGGACTATTTTCAAAAGATGGGAAGAGGCAATTTATCTTTGTTCACACTGGACAAAATATTTCTGCCCATCAGCCCCTATACAAAAAGTAAAGAGAAATAAGGGAAGGTGATGGGGGGAAATGACAACACTGGGGGAGGGGAGGAGAGAAAAGATAACAAGTTTTTAGTAAAGGATGACACAATATTAGAGACAGAATTTTTAAAAGGAGAAGTCATGGTTAAGACTGAGAAGAAAAATCAACGGAAACAATAAAAGAAGAATGGAATAAACAGACATGTTACAATGAACTAGAGACAACTATAGTTATGGTAGGAAAGAGAATCTGTGAAACAAACAAAGAAAAAAGAAATAGGGTAGTATTACAGTTTAAAATTCTGAACCTCTGATGTTATTGGATTATAACCCATAGAATAATGTAAATATCTACGAGTCCATACTGATATAAATTGAATAAATAAATCAATGAGAAGGGACATCTTTTTCCCTATTGAAGAATTCCAGTTAATAAATGTTGAAAGAATAAGAGGAAAACAATATTACCATTAGGCAAACAGCAAAATAATAATAATTGTTGCAGGCATGATCCACCAATGGATGCTAAATTAGTACATAAAATTTTGAGTGGGAACTGACTATTTGAGTAGCCTCAAATATTTTCCCCAAGAAACAGTAACTTACAGGGAAGAAATTCAAGACCCACATATAGGACCTTAGCCAAGAAATCACTAGTCCTGTCACTAGTAGTAAGACATTGACATTATTACCCTCTGAAGGGCACAAAATCACTTCTGTGATCTTTCTGAACATGTATAACCCCATGAAATTACATCAGAAAAAAACAGATGAGAGATATTCTAGAAATTAACTGACTGATACTCTTCCAAATTGCAAGGTCTTGAAGGACAAAGAAAGACTGAAGAATGGTCATAGATTGGAAGAGACTAAGGAGAGAGGAAGACAACTAAATGCAATGTGGAATCTGGGTGGGGAAAGGCCATTAGTGGAAACCTGGTGGTATTTGAATAAGGTCTGTATTGTAGTTAATAGTAGTATACCAATGTTAATTTCCTGGTTTTGATCTTTTTACTGTGGTTATTGTAAGATGTTAACATTAGGGGGTGCTGGGTGAAGGATATATGAAAATTACTATTTTACAACTTTTAAAAAAAATTTTTATTGGAATATAGTTGATTTACAATGTTGTGTTAGTTTCAGGTGTATAGCAATGTGAA